GTTAATCCCGTCACTAGGGGTGAAACTGGGTCGGGCCGGCCTACAGAGGCCTACGGCTCGGCCTACATCAGGCTAGACTTGACTTAGTATATTTTGTATAATAGGTCGGGCTCGGGCCTTAAAAAAAGCCTGTTTAATAAAAAGGCTGTAGGCCCACTTTCAAAAGGTCGGGCCTATAAGCCTACAGGCGGGCCTATATTGTACTATTTATCTTAAATAAAATAAAATAAAATAGAGTAAGTATGCCTTGAAGAAAAAAAAATATAAATTTAATCAATTGCAATTATTTATAACTTAATTATATTTGATTATATTTTAACAGAAATCTTACTTTATTCTTATATAGGAGGAACCAACATCTCAACATGTTAGATTGTGTATATGAATATATTAAAAGATTTTTGGGAGAGGTTATATTTACTACAAGCATCATGATGTGTTTGTTGGATTCATGTAGTTATTTTAATTTACATAATATGGATTTGTTTGTTGGATCTGATGAAATATATGTTATTTAGTTTGAGCATTTTGCTTTTGAAAATGACTTAAATGCATATTGTATTAGTTTTGTTATGATTCATGATTCTGTTTGTTGAAATTATGATTTTTTGTGTAGCAACAAAATTTGAATACTTTGTAAAGTTGATTAATGGTTCTGTTTGGAAGTTAAAAATTAACAGGCTAACGGGCCAAGCCGGGCCATTTATTTTTTTTATAAATGGGCCAAACCAGGCTAACAGTACTTAGACTCATACTAGGCTTAGGCCGGGCCGAATTGAAATTTTTTGACGTAGGCTTGGGCTTTTCGGGGCAAAGCTCGGCCCAGCCCAGCCCACTTTCACCACTACCCGTCACTATCAGTTACGTGTTTGGTTTGAAAAATTTATCCAATCAATTTTAATTGGACAATTATTTTGCTCAAAAATCCTAAAATAATGCTTTAGGCGGAAGGATTCATTTGCCACCATTTGTTAACTGAAGTTAAATATATAACCATGATACACGATCAGCATGATTAAATCCTATCCCTTGTCATCAGCGATCATGCTGGGAAAAGAGAAAATTTTCCAAATCTCTTTATTAGGGGAATCAGAGTGACCTTAATCAATGAATAGATATCCTTTAAAATTCGGATTTAAATACGTGTTTTTACAATTTTATGATTTTTTTAAGGGTTTGCTTTTTCTGCAATTATTGCAGATAAGTTATCTGCAGTAAACCAATATAATATCGTTTTCAGACGAAAATTATGGTATTTTTGTAATTTTAATTTATTTCAGGGTTATAATAGTCTTTATATTTATAATTTTTTAAGATTTCAATACCAAAACGACGTCGTTTTGGAAATAAATGCAAATAATTTATCTGCATTAACTGCAGAAACATTTTCCCCTTTTTTTAATCACAATGATTTCATCAAAATTCTAAATGTTTTTTTTATGTTTTATGATTTTTTTAACATTAAGATTTTATATTTTATGATTTTTTTTATATTAAAATTTTATATTTTATGATTTTTTATCCTCCTTCTGATGTTAAGTAAAATCTCGATTTTAACTAGCATAGTGCACCTATCCAACTTACCATACACTCATTCCCTCCTTGTGTTGTCATGTAAACTTTTTTAATTTTAATTTCACCTGAAATACGAAAAAAACTTTAGTACGTCAAACTAAGTTCAATGCGATGATAATGTATTTATCCTAGGATACAGTTTGTTATCTTACTTATTTGTACGGATTCACCCACGTATCATAAAATAAATGAATTACCTTGCACTGAATTTCAAGTTTTATTCCTAAAATACAACTTCTTATTCTTCTTTTTTTCTTTTAAAATCCAAAATATTAATTTTTTTTATACTTGAACATTAGAAAGAAAATATTAAATTTTGCATTTAATATATTGTATTTTAAAATTACATATTTTATTGAAATATTTGAATTTCAACATTACTTTAAAAACACTCTATAACACCCCAAATTTCTAATAATTTATAAAACATTCTTACATTAAAGAAAGGGAAAAAGGTGTGTCATCTTAAATGACACACCTTATATTCTTTCACTCTCACAAAGAGGTGGGACCGATATCTTTAAAAAAAGTTTCCCCACTCTCTCTTATGATTTATCTCTATCTCTCACTTAAAATGACACAACTTTGTGACCTTTAAAATGATACACACTTTTCCCTTAAAGAAATTGCCAAAATTCACGTTTTATTTAAGGGTTCGCTTTTTTTTTTTTGCAGTTACTGCAGATAAGTTATCATGGTATTTTTATAATTTTAATTTATTTCAAGGTTATAATAATCTTTATATTTATAATTTTTTAAGATTTTAATACCAAAACGACGTCGTTTTGAGAAAAAATGCAAATAATTTATCTGCAGTAACTGCATAAATATTTTTCATTTTATTTAATTACGATAATAGAAATATTGCGGAAGCTAATCTAAAACTAATTTAGGGAAATGTTATCGCTGCACCTGTACAGGGACAAGTGTAACGCTAACTCTATTACATTCATAAATATTAAAATAAAATTAGAGACTATATCTTATACATAAAATTTAGGACTAATAAGAAATTCTCTGAGTCATTATCCTCATTGCCTAATGCGAGCCCCATCCTTTGCAACCCACTTCACTGAAACTCTGCTCTCTCGAAAGATCATTGCAGCATAAATAAACAAAAATACAAACAAACAGCAAAGCTGATAATCTTAATCAAAAACAAATATATAACTCAATATAAAAGATGCATGTAATCAAATAACAATTTGACTCAAATAATAATTAAATATTCATATCAAATAATAATACTAAATGAGCTGCTCAAGGACATCATAGTATTCCAGAGTATCATAATTCAAACATTTATCTTCATAAATTTTCGAATTTATTTAAGGGATATAATGATTCAAATATTCCACATTTATCGTAGTAAAACCCAAATCATCATAACTTTCCAATTTATTTAAGGATATAACAATTCAAATCTTTAACATTTATCATAGTAAAGCACAAATCCGATTATCATCGTAACTTTCCAAATAATTCAAATATTCCACATTTATAATAGTAAAACCCCAATTCAATCATCATATCAATTATCCATTACACATAATACAGTCATCATATCAATTATTCAATTATTTCAGGGTATCAAAATCATATTTTCCACAATCATTTCAGTAAGATTCATATTGCACTTATATTGCACATAATCAATTTTTCATCATTTTATCAAAGGCAAAATCCGTTATCAAAGCATTAAGATTATTCCCAAAATAATTAATCCTATTATTTTGTAAACCCAATAAAGTTCACAATAATATTCATATATAATTAACCTATAGTTAATATCACTTGATTCCATATAATTAACCTATAAAGTTCCTAAAAAAAATATCAATATCACATATAGCAAATTAAATTTGAAACCACCTAAAACATCCTAAGGATATTGATTCAACAAATTATATATAATTCATTGTTATGGTCTAATTATTTATAAACCATATCATATAATTAGATTATAATTATTAATATTTTCAAACAGATTATTAAATATTAATTTATTATTAATTATATAATTCAATTAAAAATACTCTATAATATTACAACGATTAATTACATATAACTACAATAATAATAATTAATAAGGATGACATATTATACAAATTTTTTATAAATTAATCAAAATAAATGTTTTAAATATATAAGTTAATCAATATAAATCAATCAAGATAATACAAAGGTTCATCATATGCTCAAAGTTAATTACCTTACAACCATAATTAATTAAGATAAATAAATATCATCATGTTCACATATTCAGTTGATTAATCTTTATTAAATTAAATAATTATAAAATTTTGTAAGTTGAGAATATAGTTGCGTGACAAGAAGCTGGTGGAATGAGGAAGGGCAATCACCCTTTTCAAATCTAGACAAGTTTTATTTTTAGTTTCTCTTTTCCTTGAAAATAGAAATTTAGTCAAACATAAGTTTATAAAAATTCAATAAGAGTTTTTTTATAATAAACAAAAATAAATAAATTTTGTTATATACTTATATGACTTATTATGGGCTGTTATATGTATTAAATATAAATTATATTACATATATTAAAAATATTATTTAATATCAAAACGTGTCCTAATGTGTCAAAATATGACATTTTTTAAAATTAACGTGTCGTGTCATGACTCGTAGGATTTCGATCATTTCACGTGGAAAAGTGACCATGTGGTCATGTTGGCCATGTTATTTGATCACTTATCTCATCATCAATGAGTGGTTGTGATCAAATAACATGACCACATGACCACTTTTACACATGAGAGAATTCAAATCCTGTCCCATATCAAGTGTCGGTGCAACATAGAACATATCTACACTACAACTGCTTTTTGTATACAGCATCTAAATGTAAAATATCTTTAATTTTTGAAGCAAAAAATCTTACAAAATAAAATAAAATTTCTTTAATTTCTCTTAATATAAATTTAATTTGTCACAGCTCCAATAATGAATTTTATTTTATTTAATAAAATAAAATTACCTTTACCTTATTACATTGCTATGTTTTGTTCACCGAGAAAGTGGGACAGAACGAGTGATTTCAATCGCAAGTCGAAGTTGAATGGAAAGTCCATATTCATTCCCACTTATTTCTTTTCATTTTTTTCACTTGTAATTGGCAATTTGATACTAAAAGAATCCAAAGTTCAACGACCCATATGATAATTACATCAGAATCGATTTCAATATATTGACTCGAATTTGACAAGGCCCAGCAAGCACTATAACTCTAGTAGCGATTAGGGGAGAGCATTGATGGACAAAATGATTGTGGTGCAGAAGTAACACTTTTGTGGTTTTTCCGTTTTTGTAACAAAATAGAAATTATGCTAAAGGTGTTATTTGCAACAAGTGAAAAATAAAAAAATGTAAAGACAGTAAATGTAAAGACTAGAACATGAATTCACTCAAACTAAAACTAGAAATGTAACTTTTTATATATGGATTGAACCCAACCAAAGTTTTATTCTATGGTGAGACTGGTTCCACCATCCTAATATTCCAATCCCAATCACACAAATTAACATAGCCTCAAAAGATTGGACCAGCTGCGAGAATATCTTCTGTAAGAGTGTTGTCCTTGCCAATCTTGTAGTTGGTGAAGGTTTCGAAATTCTTCTTGAACAATCCAGCCAACTTCAACAGTGTCTCCTCGTAGGCATTTTGGTCTGACCACTGCAATCCATAAAAACTTTAATGTTAAAATACTAAGGCAAAGAACAGAGCTCGGGATATAATATTTTTAGAGAAATATAATATAAAATTATTAGTTTTTAAACTTAAAAACTTAAGGTGTTAAAAGTGAAAGCTACATTAATGACTTGATATTATATTTCTCTAACTTATGTAGAGACTCTGGTATACAACTAACCGTGTTCACAGGATCCAGAATTTCTGAAGGGACTCCCTCCACTTCTGTGGGGATTTCTAGCCCAAAAATCTCAGTCTTAGTGTACTCTGCATTCAGGAGGCTTCCAGAGTGAATGGCATCAATTATTTTTCTCGTATATTGTAGTTTAATACGACTCCCATAACCATAGCTGCAGTTTGACACAGGAAAGAAAAGTCAGGTTTACTATTTAGGTTCAAAAAGAAACTTTTTATTTCAATGACATCAACTACCGCCATACCTGCCAGCAGACCAACCAGTGTTAACAAGCCATCCAGTAGCACCATGTTCCTGCATCTTTTCAGCAAGCATTGCCGCATACTTTGTAGGGTGTAGCATAATAAATGCTGCACCAAAACAAGCTGAAAAAGTTGCCTGTGGCTCCTTTATACCATCCTCTGTACCAGCCACCTACAGTTATTATAAATAAATGAAAAAAATATGGTGAGAATTATAGAAGAAGGAACATTGGTAAATAGTAAGGTAGCAGTTAAGTTAGTTGCTGTGATGTATTACCAAAGCAGTGTATCCGCTGATGAAATGATACATGGTCTGCGCCAGGTTTAACTTACTCACGGGTGGGAGCACACCAAATGCGTCACATGCCAAAAGTATGACATTTTTTGGGTGAGGGCCAACACATGGTAACTTTGCATTTGGAATGTACTCTATAGGATAAGCTGCACGAGTATTTTCTGCAATAAAAATTATCACATATAATTGTCAGCAAGGATCCCTTGTAATGGATGATTACAAGCCATATTTATATGAAGTCCGCCATAAATCCCCATCAATTTTAGTCAACTTTCTTGATTAAAGACTAAACAATATTCAAATTCAATTAAATAGTCAGCAGCCTGAATTTTAGCAAGTAGAAGTTTGACTTGCTAATCTGTCAAAATGCTTTTGTCTTTATTCAATTCCATCCTTATCCCTTGCTGTATATAAAGGGAGGTTTACTTTTAAGAATTGACCATTATCAATAATAGATTAGTTGCAAGTTGTTTCTTATCAAGAACATCATGCAAGCACATATTTAAGTCAATTGTTCAATAGTACAGCATAGTCCTCTTGTTGTCACTTATCAAGCAAATAATTTAATTGAAACCATGCAAGTCATTACTGAATCAAATCTTGGTCAACCTCTAAACAAAAGAATATAATCCAAATTCATCTTAAAAAACTATTATTATTATTTTTTTGAAAACATCTTAAAAAATAATTATTTACCTGTAACTGATTTGTCAGTGTAATCAACCTCTCGAGTATGCTCATCAAACACCACGTTTTCCAAGACTGACAAAGAATAAAATTAAATAAATCAAAAAGCACTTCTTATTAGGGGGAGATCAAAATACATTAAAAATAGTCTGAGATTAATACCTGTACCAAATCTGATAGCATTCCAGATATCAGGTTCTTTCTCTCGTGAGAGATCAATGCATTTGGCATAGCAACCACCTTCAATGTTAGAGACACAATTCTCACTCCAACAGTGTTCATCATCTCCAATTAAATACCTATTGTGGTCTGTAGAAAGAGTGGTCTTTCCGGTACCTAAAACAAATAATAATAAAAAAGAAAACCAAAAAAGATCCATTAGGATTATAGGAAAATGAAGACACAAGCCATAACTAATTTCCACGGGTAAAGCATATATATAGTTTATAACAAGCAGTTGAGTATGGCCACACATAGGGAGAGTAAGAAGGGAATTAGGAACATATCGTAGGGCAGGTGTTTGGAGCCAGATTATTCCGATGGAGGATTTTGATCCGCTGATACTATACCTGAGAGTCCAAAGAAGAGTGCAACATCCCCATCTTTTCCCATGTTGCATCCAGAGTGTAAGGAGAGGATTTGACGCATAGGCATGAGATAATGCATAACACTGAAAAGACCTTTCTTCATTTCCCCGGCGTACTGAGTGCCGAGGATGACCATTTCCCTCCTAGCAAGATTAAGATCTACGCTAGTGGAGGATGTCATGTAGTGAGTATAACGATTACATGGGAACTGTCCAGCATTGTAAATAGTGAAGTCCGGAGTACCAAAATTCTCCAGCTCTTCAGGAGTGGGTCGGATACACCTGTCACCCACCTAGTTATCCACTTGTACACTAAACTAAACTAACAGGGGGAACCTTTTCCTCCAATGAGCAGGGATATGTATGTTATATGTTATGTTATGAACAATATATGTATATATATGTAAATTAAGGCTGTCAACGATAGGGCACTTATCTGGCGGGGTCTTATACCTTTTTGTCTTGAAGGAAGAAGAGAGAAACTACGTACTACTGTTGGCAATGGTAAATTATACTCGAGTTTTTCACTTACATGTTGTGCATGAACAAGGAATGGTAAGCTCTGGCAGAGACAATCCGGACTTTGATTCTGTTCTCTGGGTCCCAATTCAAGAATTGGTCATTCACGAAAACCTGCAAAACACAAAACATTGTTAATATTATTATTTAGAACTCTACGAAATTGAATTGCCATCCAGATATGATATTCAAATAAAATATTTTTAGTCAAGCAAAATAAAAATAAAAATTATTGATTAAAAACAGTGATCCATCAATCAGGGAACATATTCGACATCAGGGCTTATCCAGATAACGATTAACTGTGAAGACAATTGCAAAGAATTTCTTTTATTCTTTGTTGAAGTGGCATGGCAAACATGATTCAAATGAACATCGGATAGAAACATTGAATGTAACAAATGGAGTCTAGGATATTTCAAAGAGTGCATTATTCTGTCATTGTAGATAAGGGTGACCATAGATTTGGTTTGATATAATGACTGACCAATTTTACCCGTGGTAATTTGCAAAAATATAAATTGAGTTTGGTAATTAAGTTGATTTTTGGTCAACCCAAACCAAATCAATTTCAGTCAATGCGGATATCAGATTTTAATTTTTTTAATCCGATCAAACCCAATCCAATCTAACTAAAGATAAATATTTTTTAAAATTTATTCAGTCCAATGTAGAAGATTGGAGTGCTTCCTGGGGGCTGAGAGTATTACAGCTATGAATGAACAGCTGGATGCTTATCTAACGGAGCTAATCAATTCATCAGATACATAACAGGACAGGCCATAGCACACCACAGCCATTGGTGCTCTATCCTATACAAGTAAAAGCATATATCCTTATTCCTTCATGAATCCTGAGGCTGAGTAATCATTTTCTGACCCAAATGGAATGGACGCATATCTTCTATTTCTTAACATCATGAAAAAGACATATCCACATCCATAATAAATATAAAACGCGATCCAATTCCAAGCAAACGACACACGACGACAGTGTCGTGTCACGTAAGGGATCAGGTGAGGTAAACTTTTTCCTCGCACGCCCACTTGGACAAAAAGCCAACATAGGCACCATCCACACGTCACTATCTTAAATAGCCAAAAGATGAGATACACCATCCTCTTTTATTATCAATATCATAGACCATTCGATATAATATTAAAAATTATTACCAACTTTTTTTATAATAAAATAATAAATGATAGAATGAAAGAAGAGAGAAATGACCTTGTCCAAAGAGTTCAAGTAATCGACGGCTCTTTCTCTGTTCACCATGAAAGTCTGCTCGTCCATCTCGATGTTAGGGGAACCCCTGCAAAGTACAATATTGTGACATCAAATAGAAATAAAGACAAAGAAAATTGAAAATAAAGCAAGAGACAGGGACATAAGCAGCATATATTATTAGGGGTTTGTTTTTTTTTTTTTTTTGAGAAAACAATCCATTTCTACATACACTATGAAAAGATGTGCTATTTTTTGTTTTTTTAAATAGATGGATCCCATATTTATTGTATTTATAACATGATATTAGAATTCTCATGTAACAACAGATTCCTTTTTTCCATATTATTATACATAATAATAATAATAATCTGGTGAGAGACTTGCTAGTTAGTTAGTTGAACATGGTACTCACTTTCCCCACCAAAGCTCATTCTCAGTAACATCGTCCTTGACGACGCGCTTGTCCCTGGGAGAGCGACCCGTCTTCGCCCCAGAAAGCGTTGCCATTGCCCCTGTGGAAGTGATGAACGATCCTTTCTCATACTTGATCGCTTGTTCATAAAGTTCTGTACCAATTCCAAATCCCACAAAAAAGCAAAATTATATAATATCACATCAATAATCGTAATATATTAGTTATATGGTTTTTTTAATTAAAAAAGATATTCACGTTCTTCACATGAGAAGTGGGTTAATTTCGTAGGAGATTAATGACAAATTTGTCGGCCACAAAAATCATTGAGCATCGTAATCAATTAAAGTAAAATAAAGGATCCAGTAAAAAGTTAGTTGAATACAAATCGACCACACACATTTTACATTTTTCTTCAGGTACATATGCCTTTAATGTTATTTATGTGCTACTGGAGGATGGAAGAAAAAAAAGAAAAGAAAAATTCAAAGTGTACTTTTGTAATAGGAGGACCACTGTGAACTTAGAGCACCTTATATTTTTTCCTTTACTATGTTCAATTAATTCAGACTGTATAAATAATTTATTTTTAGAATCAAATAAATTTTATCTTTTCATTATTAAAAAATTAATTTCTTAATTAATTATGACTTTGATGAAAAGCAACACACAAAAATTCAATTTATAATAAAACATTATGCTTGACAAATTCAAATGCATCAAGAGAGGGGGTGACGTTTGGAACTAATTTTCGTACACTAGATGTACAAAATGATGCAATAGCTATCAGTGTCAAGAATTCAATTCATAAATTGAAATGAAAAACACGACAAAGTCCGATATAGCATGGGAAGGAGACTAATAAGACCATAAGATCAATAAAACAAATAACATCATCATCAGAAAAAAAGAAATAAAGTATATATGAATGCTTAGAAAGGTGAATACCAGCAGGTGAAAGATTGTAGAGGACATGGGTAAATTTCAAAGCACTATCACTAACAGCAATGGTGGGAGGGGCATGATGGTGCGTAACGTGAGCAACCCTCTGAGTTTCCAACTTCTTAGCTGGGTCTCCCCTTACCACCTTGGGTCCAGTCTCCCTCGTCAGTGACGCCAGGGATGCACTGTTTCAAGAAGCAAGGGTGATTCAGAATTTTGCACCAAATTATAAAGTAATTTAGAATTTAATGTAAATAAACAAAAAAAAGAAAGATCAAACTAAAGCCAAGGGCAAATTGGTCTATTGTTTAACTATAATTCAAAATGCTTGTATATGCAAAAGTGTCGTTCTCTGATTGGACCCCAGCCAACAAAGTCCATCAACGATATCATCAAACCCATTAGCACCGTGTGATCCATCACACGTAAATCTACTAAATATACCGGGGCCCACCACCCTTTTACCTCTCATGTCGTGCCTGTATGAATGAATTGACTAATTGTTTTCCACATTAATTTAAGTATTATTCATTATTCTTGGGAAAGACACGTATGGACACCAATTTACCAGTTCTTATATTATTATTATTTTAAATAGATTCTCTCAAATGTATTTTATTATAATATGATTATTTGAGTTATTATAAGTATACAAAAGTGAATAATAGTATAATTTTATAATTATTTATTTTAATAATAATATAATTCTATTAATTTTTTTTTGTAAACATAATCATATTATGTTAAATAAGACATGAGAGATGATCTATTTTTTTTTTTTTTTTTGCCAGACCATTTACCAGTTCTTTTCTTCCTCTCTCTATGAATAGAGAGAGTATAAAATTCTTAAAACATTTATAAAAGCGACAAAAATAAATATACCTGATGGACTGTAGTTGCAGATTCTGGCGCTCATGTTCAGAGAGGGTGGCAAAGGGAGTCTGAATCCCTTTGACGGGGGTGGTGGGTGCGGACTTCTTCTTCTGTAGCGAGTGAAGCTCGTCAAGGGTTTGAGCCTTCACCGTTGGAACACTGTCGTCGTGGCAAATCTCATCATGCTTTTTCGGCGTATGAATCTCTGGCAGTCCGTTCGTTACGTTGCCATTTCCGTTATCGAATCTAACGCTGCCATTACCATTCGCTTCCATCTTCTTCACTCTGCCAAAAATGAATTAATGAATAATATATAAATTATGTGTGTCATATCATAAATTATAAATACGTTAGCTTTATGATCATCCAAACAAGAGCCTTGTTTAAGGCTTGCACAGTTGAAGATCAAAGTAACAGCTATAATCATAGTAATTAATAACCACGTCAGATGTCCATCAGCGAAGAAAGAAATTATTAAACTACAAAACCTTAAAAGAGAGAACGAACCAGAGATTTGAAACTTTCTGTTGCAGGAATGAGGAAAGCTAGAATATAAGAAAGGCTAACGAGAAACAAAGTAACTGGTCGGATAAATGAACAAGGGAAGTGCAACGTATGTGTTGCGCTTTTGACGATTATGAGAGAAAGACGAATTCGTTGGTGATGGGAAAATATTAAGGCTGAAGTGTCCCTTTTATAGAAAGGATTCATTGCCACGATTTGTTAACTGGAGTTAAATATTTAACCAGGGTACACATCAGCATGGTTAAATCCTATCCCTTGTCCTCAGCGGTCTTGCTGGGAAAAGAGAAAATTTCCAAATCTCATTATTCGGGGATTCAGAGTCAGGTATAAAGACCTTAATAAATGAATAGAAATCACTCATTCCCTCCTCATCTTGGCATTTATATATTTGATTGGGTTTAAAGGATTTTAATAAAAAAATTTAGATAAAAAAATATATCGGTATTCAATTAGGATTTTAAAGCATACTTGTAAAACTCACCCTGATTCGGTCAGGTTGACCTGGAACCTGGTAAATCGGTTATTGGACCGGTTCGGGTCAAGCTTTGGACCGATCATGCATCAATCCGGTCAAAACCCGGACAAAATCGGCCAAACCCGATGACCCAGTAACGCGGTTGGGACATGCATTTAAAAATAAACCAAAATTATTTCATTTTGTCAAAAAAAATATATGACTCATTTTAAAAACTTTTTGTAACTTTATTTGCTTGTATACTTTTCTACAATGACCTCAAATTCCAGCTTCACTGAAGCAATTTGTGGAATAATAAATTAAAAAAATATGACATCATTTTTAATGTAGTTGAATTCGAAAAAAATTAGTTCAATGTCATTGAGAGGTATGTTTATGGGCAATCTAAGTTGCAATTTAAATTGACATAGTAATAACATGCATTTTTATTTATTTATGCTTCATATTTTTAAACTTATTTAATGAACCTTGTTTAATTCGTTTTAGAAATGGAGAATATAATTGAATTTATATGTTCATATTTATGTATTTTTGTATATCTATATGTATTCGGGTCAACCGGTCCGACCATTGACCCACCGGTCCGACCAGTGACCTAGTACCCCGATCAGGTCGGGTTTAATAACATTGTTTTAAAAGATTGAAAAAAAAGTCACATGGTATTCGATTAGGATTTTAAAAGATTATTTTAGAGTCAGTTTAAATCTGTTGGTATTCAATTAGGATTTTAAACAAAGGAAAAATAATATTCTGGTCTTAAAAAATCTGACAATTTTAATAGATTTTATATTGGTGTGGATTTCGTGAGATTTTTTAATGAGAAATATAAATAGAATGTATGTCTCACAATCTCACCCTAATCCCTAAGTTTTCTTGAGATTTTTTATTGCAGTATCTTCTTCTTCCTTTGGCAAGTTGATGTGCTCGAAATCGGGTTCCGCCACGAGAGCTTCGTTAAAGCTTAAAAGCAACAGGTTTTTGAACGATTTTCATCAGAAAATAATTCAGAAACAACAAATCAAAAAGATTCTAATATAATCCATCTCAAAAACAGCGGAATTTTGAGCGATTTTTGAAAGCTTTTCGAAGTTTAAAAATTAATTTTTGAAGCTATGGGTCGCGATTTTTTTGGCACAAAAAAATATGATTTTTATATTAAAAATAACATAAAACAGTGAAAATATAAAATGGGAACTAAAATCCTTAAACCAATTTTCATTTTACATCAATAAAACAATATCCATTCAAAAAAAGATTGAAACTTTCACAATATGAACCATATATTTCGTAACAATATATTCATGAACGAAATTCCTTCGCTATAGGAAATGATTTCAAACAATTTTTGTGCCAATAGATAACTAAAAACTTACTTTTCAAAAGCCCTAAAGAAATTTAAGGTTTCAACTTTCAATGTATCAATTGAAAATAATTTGAGAAATTTTTTAAACTTTCATGTAATAAAACTAAGAAATTCATATACGACATTTTCTTATAATACTCAATGAAAAATGTATATGATATATGGTTAGAAAACTCTTATCATGTAGAACAAACACCCCAAGGTTTCCAAGATTAATTGCAAAAAAATTCAAATGAAATTTTATCATGAACTTTAGGTTCTATATGCAAATTTATAATTATTTTAATAAATAAAAAATTTAGGTCTTATAATCATATATGCATAACTCTCATACCAAATAAAAAAGATAATTTTCAACGCATTGGTCAAACCAAAGTGCGGGAACGAAAAAATAATAATGCGTGGAGGACTTTAGATATGTGGAGAGTTGTTACTTAGCAACTTTGAATGTTTGTTAAAAATTATATTATGTTTTACTGATTGAGAAAATTATATTAGTTTTTACTTTTTTTTATTAATACCATTGCATTTTCTTATTAACTCTTGTGATTTTGAATGTTTGTTAAAAATTCATATGATTTTTAAAATCTTATAAATCCATATTATTCTTTCAAATCTTATAAATTCTATTAAAATCTTTTAAAATCCAATCTTATGAAATTTTGATGGTAAAAAAAATCTTTTAATTTTTTTTAAAGTCCATTCAATTCTAAATAGTCTTTTAAAATCTATAATATTTTTTATTTCAAAAAAATCTTTTAAAATCCTAATACAATACATTACCCTAAACTTTTTAAATTTCTTTTATACAATCCTGGCACTAGAAAGATTTAAACTTGAAACTTCTTGGAGATTATCTAAATTCTTTATCACTATATCAATTATAGTGGCTTAACTTTTTAATTTTAATCTAATATTTTCTATTTTAAAATTACATCTTTTATTTTTAAATAGTAAATATATTATTGTATACGTCAATGTATATGATATATTAAGTAGTAATCTTTTAATTTTAATAATCAATTATACCTTTTGTTATAATTTGATATTTTTCTTTCATTCTATGAATTTCAACATTACTTAAAAAGCACTTGTTAAATAATATATACCGGAACAAATATTATTTTAAAAATATTCTGTATTTAATGTATACGTCATTGTAGGACTAGAATTAGCATGTAAGGGTAACATGATTATTTGAATTTTAGTAATAAATACTTTAGGAATATTTTTAAATATTATTTAATATTCCTTAATAAATGATTGTAATTACTTAAATAAATACATATTAAAAATCTATTTTTCATTTAATTTTTAATTTTTTTGACCAATACCTTCAAATCAAATATTTGTAATGACTATTTTTAATAAATCACTAAAAAAATAATATTTATAAATTAAAATTTTCAACGACTATAAATATTATATTAGTAGAAATTTGTTAATAACTTAAAAGAGGATCTTTAGTAGCCTCATTTCATTTATCTAAGATTTACAATAATTAGTTATAAAAATAATATTCTATAATATTTATATAGATTGAAATTTAATTAATTATTATTAAGAAAATAATAATAAGAAGAACTTTAAAAAAATTAATAATAATAATAGTTAATTATGAAATTTTTTGGATTGGAGACCATCTCTATCCACTGGGAACAATGACCATTTTGCCACTGTTCATCATAAAATTTACCAGAAAGCCACGCGCACAGTAAAAATTCTCAAACTGCCACGCAGGCTAATTCGCTACATAGTGTAGCGAATTAGGCCTGCTGATGTGTCACCTCCCCATTGGTCCACGTATTTCGCTACACAGTGTAGCAAAATACGTGGTCAAAAGGTCAACCTGGTCAGTCACCTTTTGGACACGTGTCAAGCCACCCATATTTCGCTACACTGTGTAGCGAAATACGTGACAACGGTCACCTGCTGCACTGCGCATGTCAGACATGTGGCAGCTTTGCACAAATTCGCTACCCAGGGTAGCGAATTATGTGCAAGTTTTTTCCTATATAAATCCCACGGTCCCCACCCCCCCCCCCCCCACCATTTCCTCTCATCCTCTCCCTCACTCCCTCTCTCTCTAAGTGCTTTCCCTCTCTACAAGGTTAGTATCTTTTATTTTATTGCTTTTATAATATGTTTGTTTCATTAATTATGTTTTTATAAATGTGTTATATTATTTTATATTTATACTTGAAACAATAGATTAGTAAATATGTTATATTATATAGTGTTTAGGCTTGAAACTTTAGGTTAGTAAATATGTTATAGTATTTAGTGTTGATACTTGAAACTTTAGGTTAGTGAATGTGGTATATTATTTAATGTTGATATTTCCAACCTTCGGCTAGTAAATGTGATAATTTTAAATCATGCATAAATGATTAGGTACAATTTATTTAATTTATTATTTAAGCTTTAATTCATGTGTAATGTTATTTAATTTTAGTTTTTGATACCTTAGGCTAGTAAAATGTGTTAATTAATTACACGCTCTAATGCTTAGGCTAATATAAATAATTTTTTATTTATGCTGTAATATTTTGTGAATATTATTTAATGTTGGTATTTGAAACGTTAGGTTAATAAATGTGTGAATTTATTTTACGCATGAATTAATGATTAGGTCTACATAATTAAAATTTTTAATTAATTTATAAACGTTAATAATTTAGAAGTATTGTTTAATTCTTAAATTTTTGAAAGTTGGAAATTATGTGAATCTATTAACGCATAAAATCGTAGGTTTAATTAATTTAATTTATTATTTATGCTTTAATACTTATTTCAATGTTAGTTACTGTTGATTTTAGAAACGATAGGTTAGCAATAATTATTAATTTAGTTAAAGCAGAAACTTAAATGGAGAAAAACCTATTGAATTGTGCTTTTATTAATTTAATTTATTTAGCTAAATATTTATGAATTCTTTGTTGAAGAATCTTAATTTATTTGTTTTGTATTAATTTATTTAGATATGGAGCATGATGAGGCACCTCGTCCTGGGTCTCCACCCAGCGTGATTGACCCTAGGCCTTCAGACAAGACTCTCCTAACTTTACAGGAGAAACATATATCCACACATGTGTGGAACACCTGTTAGGATCCGAATGTCCAGGATCGTGTGATTAATGTGCGACATGCTGCGACACATGATCACCGTGCCATTCCTGAAGAGATTGAGCCATGGCTGAGGTAGGCTGGCTTCTACCATATTGCGCGCTTGCGCAACCATGAGGTTAGTAATTTTTTATTGTATCACTATATCCTGACTTTGGAAT